TGACTGGCTGAACATGTTCTTATCGATAGATGATTTCCTGATGCTCCCTGAACGCCCCACAGAGCAGGCTGCTAGCTGCTGTTTGGTTAGAACCCTCCCCGTGCCGGGCAGCCATTAAAAAGCTAAATGTTTTTAGCATTTAGCTTCAGAGCTAGCACTAATGCACCACATCAAACTAAACCAGACAAACTCCTGCCTGAGCTGATGTACATTAAACTACTGCATCTACAACCCAGTGGACACCATGCACATCATATATGTAATGAAAATGTTTACTTTTGTACCTGAAAAATAGTTGTTTGGCTCCAGAACAGACAGTTTTTAACTCAGAGACACGAGGCTTCACCAGTGAGCTCAGGTTGTCAGTGGGCCGGACCGTACTGATGACATCACACAGCTCGGTTCTGATTGGTCAAACTGAGAGTGTTACAGCCATCCCCGGTCTCCCATGCATCCAAAGACAAGTGCTAGTAATCTTATTTAACAGTACATGTCTTCAAACACAGAGCCGGACCGCTGTTCTTCTTCCAGGTGCAGAACCGGTCATGACACAACAGGAGCAGCAGGAGTTCACGGAGAGCCTGGAGGCAGCCCTCTCCTGGATGCGGGCCGTCCAGGAGAGGCTGAAGGCCAACGACAACACCCAGGGACCCCGTGACGCCCTGGAGGCCAGGCTCAGGGAGACGGAGGTGAGACACGTCTTACTGTTTGGATCCAGAGTGGAGGCAGCTGCAGGTTGTGGTCTTCAGACAGGACACTGTATTGGTGTAGGGGTCATCTCATGCCACCTCACTGAGGTCCACAGCTCACAAAGTAGCCTCTGGACTGTTGGGTTCTAAGGTCTATACCTGACTTTGTTAAGCGCTATGTGATGACAGATGTTGTAAACTGCGCTATACAAATAGAATTGAACTGAACAGGTCGTCCCAGTTCACGGCGTGGATTTTTTTGGAAAACAAAACAATCGACCTAAACCACAGAATCTTGTAGAACCCCAGAGCTCGTCTCCTAAGGCTTTCTGAGTTATGGAGTTTTGAAAATGGGCCCTCTGTGTTAAATTTTATACCTTCAGCAACTCTGTTGAAGCATCTTTAAAACCTCTCTAGTTGCTTATTTTCACAGGATTTTCCAGATTCTTTTTACCACATTGGTAATATGGTGTTAATCTGAGAGGTACGTGTAGCATCACGGCTAACTGTTCACTCTGTGTGAGACAGTTATTATCAGCCTCAGTGTCAGCTGATATGTAATGAGTTTAAAGTAGTTCCACCACATGAAAGCATGATTCATGTTTAAATATTAATCCACAGGTACACACTGTGTGCACATTTCTAACTGTCCTGCTGAATCCTGTTCAGAAAATCCATCAGTCGGAGCATGAAGGCCGTGTGAAGATGGACATGGTGCTGGTGTCGGCCGAGAACCTTCTGCAAAGCGGAGACGAGGAGCTGCGGAACCAAACCCACGCTAAGCTCAAAGACCTGAAGAGCCTGTGGGAGGAGACCTCCACCTATATCATCCACTGCCACAGGTGCTCACAGCAGCGTGATGACTGAAGCACAGCAGCGACTTGTTCATGCATCAGTTCAGCCGCTGTGCTTTGATTTAAATAGCTTCATGTGTGTTTTCAGGTGATCGTTCCACACCTTGACCATCAGAAAATCACTGTGACATGGAGAATATTCTGTTCAGACCCGTTTAAAAGCTGCATTTCTATCAGTTTACTGAATTAAGGCTTGCAGCAGATGTTCTCCATCCTTCCTCCTTATGGTTCAGATGTTTACTAGTTCATGATGTGGTGCTGCTTGTTCACTCAGCCAGACCAGGAAAATACTGTAAATCCTTTCAGGTGATTGATGTAGGATTCCTTTTTTACTTGTTATGTTGACACCTATAGATTGTAATGTTAATGCTGATCTGATCAATCTGATGCAAGTTTTAAACAACCTGTATAACTGATATTTTGAATTCAAATCATATCAACGATTAAGTCATCTGTAAGCACAGACATGTAACATTTAGCGCACAGATGCTGTCCTGGTAAACACGGATTCCTTTTCAGTATCTGAATTCTAGTTGGATGCTGTCAATACCCACAGAAGTCTGTATCATGGTGGCCTATCGCTAGCTAAACCCCTGCAAAGGAACTGCCTGGAGTCTGAGTGACCGACTTCTCAAATCACTGTCGTATAAAACCCCGTAAACGAGCATCTCATAAGCTGATAGAAGCTGCTTCAGAAGTCTCTGTTGCTATCTGAACTGCCACAACGCTCCCTGCTCGGTAGCTGACCAGACACACGTTGCTGAGAGATGTTCTGTCTTGTGCTGCTTCAATCCACATGCAGTCGCATCGAGTGGGTGTGGCTGCACTGGAGCGAGTACCTGAAAGCCTACGAGGAGTTCGAGCTGTGGCTGACCAAGCAGCAGCGCAGCCTGGATGTCGGCGTGGAGCTCCAAGTGGGAGTGAAAGAGAAGCTGTGGCAGGTGGACCAGCAGAGGGTGGTGGTGAGCGACATCCACGCCCAGGCAGCGCTGCTGGAGAGGCTGCTGGACGAGGCCGCGGCGCTGCACAACAGAACCCAGGACCCCAGTGTGGACCCACAGGCCCAGGAGAGGATGCAGGAGGCCTACAATGACGTCAGAGACAGAGCTGAGGTGAGGCACCTGTCTGATGTGATGTGCTGCTCAACTACACCCTGTTGCTGTCCACATGTTCATACACTCATAGTCACTGGAATAGATGTACCGTAATGTCTGGACTATAGAGGCACCTGAATATAAGCCCCACCCACTGACTCTAAACAGAAACCAGGTGTGTACATATACAGGCTGCAGGTGTCTCTAAGCTGCAGGTGTCCACGTTGGAACATGAGATATTTACACAGAAAGATGTTTTAACCTTTAATTAAATGCGTAGCGGTAACATCCACAGATACGTACCGTAGAGGCTTTTTTCTGAACACTTCCTGTAACACGGCTGGTTAAGGAAATAAAACTCCAGCAGCTACCAGGAAAAGTCACTGATGGCTATCTTCATCTTCCTCCTGCACTAAAACCACTAAAGTCGTCTTCTTCAGTGTCTTCAGGAGCTGAACAGCCTCAGAATCACTTCATCACTTCCTCAGTCTCTCTGTCGTCGTCGCTCTCAGCCTCACTTTGGTCTCCAGGTGACTTCGTAAAAATCCATAAATTAGAGGCATCGTTGTTTAAGCCGCAGCGTTCAAAGCGTGTGAAAGAAGTAGGAGCTTATAGTCCAGACATTACGGTAACTGTAAGAGAAAGTTTGTAAAGTTCGTTATGACGTGGTGCATCCTGGTTATAACTACGGCTGCTGTGTCCTCGTTAGTCGCATCTGGATTACACAGATCTTATTATAACAGTTTCACCATCAGTAGGGCTCATGTGACCGAGAATCTGTCCAGTGATTAATGAATGTGGATGTTTATTGTCCTTATTGAATCTAAATATTCTTCACTCTCTTAAATGTGTATCAGCGCATTGCATTGCTTTCTGTTGGTTCTGTTTGTCCAGCAGTGAATCAGTGAATGTTATACTGAAGGATTTATTTTTCTGCTGTTCATACTTTCAATGGGAGCAACTGTATCGTGAGCAGCTCCCCCTGGTGGTCAGTGAAGTACTTCTGACGTGTCTCCTGCTGTGCTAGGAGCATCTGTCAGTGCTTCAGAAGATTGCTGAGGAGCACCAGATGCACCAAGCCTGCGTGCAGAAGTTCCAGTCCTGGCTGCTTTCAAAAACCAAGGAGCTGACCGACCTGATGGAGAGAGAGGACACGGCCGAGGACAAGCTCAAAGCCTTACAGGTGAGAGTCGCATCACAAGTTTGGGTTTTCAGTAGATGTTTTAGACACTGTCATGCCATGTCAGATTAATTCATAGTTCCTTAACAGTACATGAGATGTAGGTGGAAGTCAGAAGTAAATAAAAACAGGATTCAGAGCTAAAAGTTATAGTGGATTAAATTCACTGAACGTACAGAATGGATCAAATTCCTCTTCCTAACATCTACCACCTACCTTTTATTAGTTAACAATGTTGTTTTTAAAAGAAAAATAATCACCAGTCACAGATATTTGAGGTAATAAACAAGCACCATGTCGACCAAACCAGGTTTCTAGGTGCTCTGATGTATTTTTCCTGCTGCATGTGTCTACAAGCCGACACGTTTGTTCTTCTGCTAGGCTCTGGATGACAGCGTGGCCTGTGAGGAGAAGACCCTGCAGCACATCGAAGGCGTAGCAGAATCGGTCAGGGCCAACACCTCTCCAGCAGGGGCAGAGGTGGTGGTGGAGGAGGCTGAGGAGCTGAGGCTGGGCTGGCAGAGGCTGAGGCAGGGCCTGTGTGAGGCCGGGGAGGGTCTGCGCTCCAGCCTGGACTCCCACAGCCAGTACATGGCCCGGTGCCAGCGGCTGGGAGAAGACCTGACTCGCCTCAGGCTGCTGCTGCAAGGCCTGGACCAGGAGCTAGAGGAGACCCACAAATCCAAGGACCTCACCGACCACACAGAAGAACAGATGGTGGGCCAGTGGAGGAAGTACACGGTAGGTTTGTGAACACATCAGCAGTAATGTACAGTCAGTGGGACACTGGTGTCAAAGCAGGAAGATCACTGCTCTGGAGGTGGACTACCTCCAGCCTCATTCTGCTCGTGTGTTGCAGGGTGTGAGGAACACTCTGGCAGGGGAGGAATCCCAGGTGGAGCTCCTCAAGGCTCAGCTCAAGGAACTCTTCAGGTTCTCAGAGGACTCACGCCACCTTTCTGATGACGTCCTAGCTGTTGTAAAAGAGCATCAAAGGTGTGTGATGGGGAGACGTGCCACAGAACCTTCTGCACTGTCAGCGTGCAGCATCATGACTGCAGATAACTGTTAACCTCGTTTTACTGTTTATACTCCGTTCATGGCAACGATAAGCTGCTTGAACCCATGATCCAACCTTGCTGATCTGTTTCTATTCTGAAGCTGTTGTGTGGTCATTAAACACTGCTAATGAAGGAATCTAGACTTATGCACTGTGTGAGCATAAAACCAGGCTGTGAGCGTAGATGCACCTCCCCTTCAGGTAAAGCACAACCTGCATGCATGAAGCAAACGATTAGACCAGGTTATTGTTGTAGGCGTTATGTGAGAGCTGACAGCTTCTGAGTTGTGCTACAGCTTGAACATGAAACCTCTGTCTTGTAGAAGTGTTGGTATTTGTAGTTTTTGGAGCGTTTGGTCTGTATGTTTCCACCAGAAGGAGCTTAAATACGTATTAAATAGACACTAAAGGACAAAACAGTCCAGCTCATGGCCCGTTATATACACAGCTGGGGACAAGGAGGGCAGCATGTTCACGTACATGACATCACCATGAACATGATATAACCAAAAACACTCAGAGAACCAGATTATTAGGGACAGCCAGCCTAACAAACCCACTGCAACCTGCTGGATTCTGTTCTCCCATCTGGAGACACTCCGTCCATAAACACAGAACCTCTGAACCCAGGTGTGAGCGGTTAGCCTCCATGTCATGTGCTTGTATAGTCTGACTACTGTTTTGCTCTAAATGAACACCAGGCTGTTTTCAGAAAGTCTTCAAACGAGCTCCTCCATCAGTTAATTAGGACAATTTTCAGATCAATTAAATCAGACTTGTGTTAGCACCCAGAGGAATCCTCCATCCTAACCCTAACCCACAGTCCTCTGTTACCTGCATGAACGTTAGGCCTTTATGTGTATAAGAAAATATTCCTTACAGCTTTGGGTAAGGCTCTGTTGTAAATACTTTGTGTGCTCATGTTGCAGCGTGAAATGCCGAGCGACGAGACTGTGTTCGGAGTCGGAGTCAGGCCTGAGGAGCATCCTTCAAGACCCCCTGCTGGTCTATGCCCAGTGGAGCCACATGGTCTCGCAGGTGTTGGAGGCTTCTGCTGATGTGACCGACTTCTCCCACATCGCCATGTTGGTCCAGAGCATAGAGGTGAACAAACACATCGACTTTTTTCTCTTCAATAAGGAAGAAAAGTGTGACTATTTTCTCAGTATTTTACCAACATGTGCGTTGCTTTGTTCAGGGCTGCAGTGTGTTTGGACCGGTCAGAACCTTTAACTAAGCAGTGTGGACTGACATCGTGTGTTCTGTGTTTCTGTTCCCAATGCCAGCGTCTGCTGAAGGACAGCACCCAGCTGCAGGAGCGTTTCAGTTTGCTGCAGGTGAAGGGGGACCTGCTGGACTCTGTGTTCGGTCTGGATAGGTCTGATGGTCTGCAGGGCGAGCTGAGCGCTGCCATCAGGAACAGAGAGCTGCTGCACTCTCAGCTGCTGCAGAGGAAGAGCCGGCTGCAGGTATCAGCACGTCGCTCCTCTGGCTTCACCGTGGCTTCAGTTTGAATGTCACGTATTCAGAGTATTCCAGCTACGTGTGGACGTATCCCACAGGTCTGAGGAAGAGGGACGGCTGTAGGAATAGAAAACACTACTTATACAGTCCTGACTCCATAATCGACCCTTAACAATCCTAAACCTGCTATCTGACAGCTTTGTAGGAAAAACCAACAGAACCCATAAAAACAGCCTTAACATAGCGACAGCCTTGGATTCTGACTCCAACATGACATTTAATGTCACAGATCAGGATGACGTCCAGATATCCCTGGTAGTATCATAACCTGTTTCATGTCTTTCACAGGGCTTGATTTCAAGAACCAAGGACTTTGGTGACACCTACGAGTCGATCCAGTCCAAGCTGTCCAGTCTGAGGGACCGACTGGTGGCAGCTGATGGCCTCCAGCCCGACATCCTGGCCAAAAAGAGCCAGTCAGACCAGTTCAGGGTAAGGGCACACAGGATGGGTCCACTGGTGACCAGACTGTAGCCTCCATGGATGGAGATTATCAGCAGCTCCTCCAGAGCAGATATTCATAGTGTAAGATCAGGAAAAAGATGTTAATTCATAACCTTAAAAACTTCAAAAGTCATCTAGTGTATAATTGTACTTGTTTATCAGTAAATGTGTGCTTGTCTATTCCTGTAATGATCAGCTCCACTAAGGCTAAAAACACTCATGTGATCTTATCCAAGGCCACTGATTGATTCATCAGTTATATCAGTTTGTCTGATCATGTGGAGCTAAACGTTTCCACCAAACTGCAGTCAGTGTCTTTATGTCCCGCGGCATGCTGCGACATCATGTGTCCTCAGGTGATCCAGAAGGACCTGGAGGACTGCGAAGGCCACATCGTGGTGCTAGAAACTCTGGTCTCCTCCAGTCAGAGCAACAGGACTCGCTTTGAGAAGCTCTATGGTGAATGGAGACATCTGCACAAGGCAGTCCAGGTAAGAAAGGAGGAGAGTCACGTAGGCCAGATTCAGATCTTTGAACTGGTTCGATGTGGGGTGTCGAACACTGCTGAAGCCTGTTTATGACGGGTCCTGCTGTCGGTATCTGACTTTTTTAGATTCTAACACTTCCTCTGAATGATTCTAGTTTATTTTTATGTGGAGCAGCAGCAGTGTGTCCTCCATAGACTCCACCAGGCTCCTATAGCCCACTGTGTCTGTCTCCCTACAACCCCGTCCCTCTTCAGCCGCTTTGACAAACTGTCGTTGTGGTTCACCTGAAGCAGAAGATGAAACTGACCATGAACAGAAGGGTTATTTACTCCTTTAGCTGACGAGGGCCTCTGTGGTTGGAATGATGTCATATTTGCATTAAATAAAACACATGCAGGTAATTTAGTGACTGTCTCTGGTACAGATGTTCCCAACGCGTTGCAGTTGTCCAACTGATCTTCTTTCATCTGCAGGCAAAAGTGAACGAGAGTGAGGAGAACATCGCAGACCACGAGAGCTTCCACGAGAGCCTGCTCAACATAGAGAAGTGGCTGATGATCATGAAGCAGAAGCTGGAGTCCTTCCACAGCCCCTCAGGAGAGTGCAGCATCGAAGGCCGGCAGCACGAAGCCGAGGTCAGTGTGTGTTCTGGAGCTCACAGCCATGTCTGTTCATCCTTACAGGTTTAATATAAAGGTTCTGGCAGACCTGTGGGACACATTATTAGAAGATTGATCCAGTTTGGACCATCCATTCTTCCACTAACACAAACTGAAGGATACTGGGAACCCGTTGATACGTATCTTCTGGCAGAGCCACCTTTCTGATCAGCTAATCGGTGCTCGACCCAACTTTCCTTTTTATACTGAAATCAGCAACACGTCAGGTCAAGACAACTTTACTCAAGATAAAGAAACCAGTCCTGTGGCTAAGGTCGTATTAGCCGCATGGATAGTTTTATCCTCAACCAGGCGTCAGAAATAAACCTCAACACACTTTATCAGAGTTTAACACCTGAGGAACCAACATAGCTCCTGCCTGCTTACATACTCCATCAGTGCAACCTGTTCACTAAAGCATCCATCCATCCATCATCTACACCTTAATCCTCACCAGGGTCATGGGGGGCGGAGCCTATCCCAGCTGACTCAGGGTGAAGGCAGGTTCACCTGGACAGGTAACCAGTCTATCACAGGGCTACACTTAGAGACAGACAACCAAGCACACTCACATTCACACCTACGGACAATTTACAATCACCAATTAACCTCAGCATGTTTGTGGACTGTGGGAGGAAGCCGGAGAACCCGGAGAGAACCCACGCTGCACGGGGAGAACATGGAGACTCCACGCAGGAAGATCCCGGGTGTCCTCACCGGGACGCCAACCGGCGACCTTCTAGCTGTGAGGCCACGATGCTAACCACTGAACCACCGTGTTGCCCTTTACTCAAGCTTGGTTATATAGCCGGCATTAAATGTAAATGCTGTGGCTGATTAGTGGAAACATGAGATGTTGTGTTAGTTTTGGAAACCGAGCTGAACACTAATGAAAGTGTCTCTGAAGATAACTGTGTCTGTAAAGTCGACACAAACCAGACACGATGCTGCAGCCTGTCTGACTGTTTGATGTCTTCTGACCAACATTTGCTTTCTTTCAACAGAGAGTTCTCGGAGAGTTCCCAGGGAAGGACCTTCAGCTGCAGCAAATGGAGGTCCAGGGTCAGGGAGTTCTGGAGAGGACGTCAGAGGAGGGACAAGTCCACATTCTACGGGACTTGAAGCGCTTAAAGGACTCGTGGCTGGCCCTGTACAACATGAGTCTCAGTCTTCACAGGTATCTGTAGAAATGTGTGTGGTGTGGCTCACCTGTGGTAAGAAACACCGTTATAATGCTACAGGCAATACTTTATTATAATTTACATAAAAGCGTACATACAGGGGGTTTTATGTTTTCTAGCTGTAGGCCGACCCGCTGGCCTTCAGTCCTGTGTTTTCTTTTAAAGTCAGTGGCTGCGGCTTGTATTCAGGTGCCTCAGTAGTCTGGACTTGAGCGTACTTTTAAATTAATTTGCCAAAAAAGCCTGAATATAAACCATAAGAGGTGCTATGGGGTTTATTGCTGCTTAAATAAATAACTGTTGGACACAAGACAAACTGGGTTGTTATGAATTAGACCTGCAGCTGGTGAGTTTTGGGGAAACTTGACCCAGTTCTGTTTCTTGCAGCTTGCTCAGCAGCTCCTCAGTGCACACAGAGTCTGACGTCCCATCAGCACATGGAGTCCCGTCGAGCTCTGCACGAGGAGGAAGCCTGGAGGGACGGGCAGAGGAGGGCGCATGGGTCCAGGCCCATGGCGAAGGTCTCCCCCTACTGGCTGTAAAAGGCAACAAGCATCTCCTTTCATCGCCAGCAGTCACGGACAGTGGACACTCGCTTGGAGGAGATGAAGTAGATTCCTCTGCTTGGAGCGTCCGAAGCAAAGCAGGGAGCCAGGGCATGTCCACAGGCTCTGCTCCTGGAAGGCCTGACAGGGACAGGTCAGCAGGGGGCGACACTGGTGCTGAAGCAGCATCGTCCATACAGACCAGCTATGATGAGGGGGCAAGAATCAGCACAGAGGCAGGAGAAGGGATGAGCTCGAGAGGAGGAGCGTTTCTACTCGTCAGCAAGGATTCAGCCGAGATGCCGTCAACAGCACGAGTTCAACGCATCACGGTACTGCTGAGCTGTTTATGCCTCCAGGCCCGGTATAGATGGTCATGTTCCATCTGGACCAAAGGGTGGAGTAGTTAGAGTTTGGTCGTCAAAGGTCCAGGTGTTATGACAGAAGCTCACTGTTGTCTAATAGAATAAAGTGATGGTGGTATTAAGTCTAGGCAGGCATGGGGGTAGATATCAGATGACTGGTGGGCAGACGCATACAGGTTCTCTGTAGAATCACAGGACTCTCCTCTTTCTCTTCAAAGGTCCATTTCATCTCAGAGGCTGGTGTTAGAAACGATACCACAGTAACTACAGTAAAAAATCATCTCAAGCTGATCTCAGTGTGAGCTGTAGTGTGTTGGTCAGCTGTGATTGGCTGGAATCATCCTCACACCTGGTTCACTGAAATCACATTGATGGGAAAAACCAATCAGCAGAGAAACCTGGTGACAGATGACCTCTGTGGCTAAACCCTTCCCTCAGACACTAACAGGACATGAGGTCACTGCCTCCTGATGGTTTTAGTGTGAACCAGAACTGTCTGACATGTCTGACGTTTTGCAGGGACCCAGAGGACACAGCAGATCCCGGAGAGCAGAGTTCGAGGCGTGGCTGTCCAAACAGAACCAAGTCCTCTCTGGGATCCTCGGCACCAGAGAGGCAACGCTCAGCGCCAAAGAGGTCAAGACTAGACAAGACACACTGAAGGTGGGTTTTCATCGACATCTAAACATTCAGTGCCAGCCGGATCAGGAGACACACCAGTCCTTGGAACAGTTGAAGATGAACTTGTGGGTTTTGGTTTGTGTCAGAAAGCGCAGAGGAGGCTGAGGGCTGGCTTGGTGATGGAGTCAGCAAGGTGGAAGTCAAAGCTGAGCACAAGCTGGAGCACCACTGAACTGAGTAGAAATAAGAAATAAGCTTTTAAGCACAGTAGGAG